TGGTCGTTGACGTAGTAGTCGTACTAGTCGTAGTCGTGCTAGTCGTAGTCGTCGACGTAGTAGTCGTGCTAGTCGTAGTCGTCGACGTAGTAGTCGTGCTAGTCGTAGTCGTGCTAGTCGTAGTCGTACTAGTCGTAGACGTAGTCGTTGATGTAGTAGTCGTACTAGTCGTAGTCGTCGACGTAGTAGTCGTGCTAGTCGTAGTCGTGCTAGTCGTACTAGACGTAGTCGTTGATGTAGTAGTCGTACTAGTCGTAGTCGTGCTAGTCGTAGTCGTCGACGTAGTAGTCGTACTAGTCGTAGTCGTACTAGTCGTGGTCGTAGTAGTCGTAGTCGTACTAGTCGTAGTCGTACTAGTCGTAGTCGTACTAGTCGTAGTCGTAGTAGTCGTGGTCGTTGACGTAGTAGTCGTAGTAGTCGTAGTCGTGCTAGTCGTAGTCGTCGTCGTAGTAGTCGTGCTAGTCGTAGTCGTCGTCGTAGTAGTCGTGCTAGTCGTAGTCGTGCTAGTCGTAGTCGTACTAGTCGTAGTCGTAGTCGTTGTTGTAGTAGTCGTAGTAGTCGTAGTCGTCGTCGTAGTAGTCGTGGTAGTCGTAGTCGTGCTAGTCGTAGTCGTAGTCGTTGTTGTAGTAGTCGTAGTAGTCGTAGTCGTCGTCGTAGTAGTCGTAGTAGTCGTAGTCGTCGTCGTAGTAGTCGTAGTAGTCGTAGTCGTAGTAGTCGTAGTCGTAGTCGTCGTCGTAGTAGTCGTAGTAGTCGTAGTCGTCGTCGTCGTAGTCGTAGTAGTCGTAGTCGTAGTAGTCGTAGTCGTAGTCGTCGTCGTAGTAGTCGTAGTAGTCGTAGTCGTAGTAGTCGTAGTCGTCGTCGTAGTAGTCGTAGTAGTCGTAGTCGTAGTAGTCGTAGTCGTCGTCGTAGTAGTCGTAGTAGTCGTAGTCGTACTCGTCGTAGTCGTAGTAGTCGTAGTCGTAGTCGTAGTCGTAGTAGTCGTAGTAGTCGTAGTCGTAGTCGTAGTAGTCGTACTAGTCGTAGTCGTAGTAGTCGTAGTCGTAGTCGTAGTAGTAGTAGTCGTAGTAGTCGTAGTCGTAGTAGTCGTAGTCGTAGTCGTAGTAGTCGTACTAGTCGTAGTCGTACTAGTCGTAGTCGTCGACGTAGTAGTCGTACTAGTCGTAGTCGAACTAGTCGTAGTCGTAGTCGTACTAGTCGTAGTCGTACTAGTCGTAGACGTAGTCGTCGAAGTAGTAGTCGTACTAGTCGTAGTCGTCCTAGTCGTAGTCGTCCTAGTCGTAGTCGTCGACATAGTAGTCGTACTAGTCGTAGTCGTCCTAGTCGTAGTCGTCGACGTAGTAGTCGTACTAGTCGTAGTCGTGCTAGTCGTAGTCGTAGACGTAGTAGTCGTACTAGTCGTAGTCGTGCTAGTCGTAGTCGTCGACGTAGTAGTCGTGCTAGTCGTAGTCGTGCTAGTCGTAGTCGTGCTAATCGTAGTCGTGCTAGTCGTAGTC